AACCGTGGACTTTGCCCCGCCCCTCCCCGACGTCAGCGGAACAAAGAGACGGGAAGGCCGGGGCGCCGCGCAGGCGCAGTTGGGTGCGTTGAGGACAAGGGGGTGGGGTTAAGGCTGCGGTGCCCTCGGTGGGGCGCGGCTGAGGGCGGAGCGACCACGGGTGTGTGACGTCATGTGTGTGGGCATGTCCGCGCGGCACGCGGGCAGGGTGTCGCTGAGGGGCGGGAGCGTGGTGGGATCCAGGCAATGCACGGGAAGTTCCACCTGAACCTCGGGAAGAGATTCACTGTGCAGGTGGCAATCTGTGCCCTGGAACAGATTGTCCGGAGAGGCTGAGGAGTCTCCCTCGCTGGAGATACTCAAGAACCGTCAGGTCGCGATCCCGTGCCGCGTGCTCTGGGATGGTCCCCCCTGAGCAGGGAGGCTGGACCAGACGGCCCCTGTGGTCCCTTCCATCGCGACCCATTCTGTGATTTTGTGCGCCAAACGTTTGGCAGAAGAGAGAGGACTTCAGGCGTCTGACAAGAGCGATTGAAAGAGCGAAGTTTCTGGGCTGTTAGCTCTGCGAAAAGGCAAAATCAGGCCAGCTAATTCTTAACAGCATTAACCACTTCAGTAAAAACTGCGGAGGGAAGCTGGTGGAGTTGCTGAAGTGTCTGAAGCACAGGTGCTACGAGGAGCGTCTGAGGGAGCTGGGGGTGTGTATCCTGGAGGAGAGGAGGGACCTTACCACTCTACAGCCCTGAGAGGAGGCTGTAGCCAGGTGGGGTTGGCTCTTCTCCCAGGAAACCAGCGGCAGGATGAGAGAACACGGCCTCAGGCTGTGCCAGGGGGGGCTTAGATTGAACATTAGCAGACATTTCTTCGTAGAAAGAGCAATTTAACACTGGAACGGGCTGCCCGGGGAGGTGGTGGAGTCACTGTCCCTGGAGGTGTTCAAGAAAAGACTGGACATGCCACTGAGTGTAATGGTACAGCTGGGAAGGTATTCAGTCCAAGGTTGGACTCGATGATCTCAGAGGTCTTTTTCAACCTAAGTGAAATGCACAGTCTGGCAATTGGAGACAGCTCTAAGTACAGAAATAGAAGGCCCTTTACAGCAAGAAGGTGGGGTTCTCTTTTATAACAATTCTTTCAACCATTTTTAGTATTAGTTTTTATTTTTTATTTTATTATTAGTTTTTGATTTGACTTATATTTTTTTAGTATTAGTTTTTACAGTTTTTTATTCCTTACTTCCCTGTGTTGAATTTTTGCCATTTTCATTCTTTCTGAAAGGTTGGGTTCAGAAGAGCTGCTCAAAACCGTGGTGTGCAGTAGCTTTGGAGTGTTGGCCCTTACACCATGATGATTTGGCTGTTCTAATTCACAATGTTTAATTTCCTAGATTAAAATTAGCTTAAAAAGCATCACTTGGTCCTATGTTACAACGGGCAATTGCTGCAGAACAGAGATGACAGGGAAGACATAAGCATATAGAATCATTTAGGTTGACAAAGACCTTCAAGATCAAGTCCAGCCTCTGACTGATCACCTTTTCAACTTGATCATGGCACATAAGTGCCCCATCCAGTGTTTCCTTTAAACATCTCCAGGGACAGTGACTCCACCACCTTCTTGTGAGCAGTCCATTTCAGTGTTTAGTCACCCATTCTGTGAAGAAACTTCTCTTAATGTCCACTCTGAACTTCCCCTGGCATAGCTTGAGGCTATGTCCTCTCATCCTGTTGCTGACCTCTACCTGGCTTCAATCTTTCAGGGAGTTGTAGAGAGCAGTA